TTTTTTGTAAGACCAACACAGCAATAGATACTTGAGAAGGCAAAGCCTGGATTTCAGTCACAGCACTGATCCACAAGTCTAAGACATCCATGGACATCATTGCAATTTCACTGGAAATACCACCAAAACCCTCTCACTTATCATCTCAATCCCAGATCTCTAGAATGGGATCTGACAAGCTTTCACCAGATACGTACTCTAGAAATCAGAAATATCTTGGTGAAGATAGAACTGGTGATGTTCAACCGTCTCAGTCTCTGCTTCTCTCAAAATCTCTCATTCGCCTTGTATGGGCTTATGAAAGTGTCAGACAAAGCTAGCTGGAGAGATCAGTTACAACAGAACCATCTACTTACTATTCAGTTGGCTCAAAGCACAAGGGTCAGTATCTCTCTCTAAAGCAGGCTGGCAATTTCCTGCCCTCCAGGAATCTACAAACAGGGAGGCTGTCCCTTCAGTGATATCCATGCTAGTCAAGAAGTCATCTGTAGTGTCTCCATTGTAATTGCCACACAAACCTAATAACACCAGAAATGCAAGGGACGGCTGACAATTAACGAATGTGTACACAGTGGCCCATGTTTCATTCTATAATAATAAGAAAATGGATTCAAAAATTCTACATGGAGTGTCAATGATTACTATAGGTCAAGTAGCCAGAGAATCTTGATTTTGCACACACTCAGCCACTGAGCCTATGCCTTCTTGAGGTAAGATTGTCCACTTCTATTCAATGACAAATTCATACAGATGTTTTTGCCTTGTTTTTAGAAAAAAGGCTTTTTCAGTGGTTTTAAATCATGTAAAAGAGAAAGGCCATGAGATACTTCTGCAGTTACACATTTTCTCATGTATATAAAATCTGTAATGACAAATAATATAAATTTAGACATTTTTAAAAGCTAAAGCCTCTGTGTAACTCCCCAAAGATAATTAGAACGCAGGATATGCCTTTGTGGCTAATGTCACTGTGCAATAAACATAAACATGTCCATCTGGTACTTATCAACTGAGAAGCTTTTAGATTCTCAGGCTTATCGTGTTTACAGTGATGATGTACTCTGTTCAAAGAACCATGTGCTCCAAGATGTAGAGACCATACAGACTAATTTGTTGCCCCTTCACTGTGTAGCAAAGCACATATTGAAAAGGCACACGTAAAACATGAAAAACTGTATTATATTATACATGAAAAGGTTACTATATTACACATTGTAAAATTGTTAGCAAAACACAAATTCTTAGTGTTATCAGTTTTCCAATGCAGTTATTTTTGTTGGTTTTTTCTTCGAATCCAGAGACCTCAAAGGATAAGTACTAAGCTTTCAAAATTACACCCCCTATATTTTCTCCTTTGTGTGGGGACTAGATTTCTTACCCAGGGTTCTGCCTTTGAACTGTGATCCAACTTTCACGTAGGCCTGGAATACAGGTGATGTTTGAACTACAAGTTCCAGCCCGAAGGTTGTATACATTTGAATGTACATCGAAGACTGTTTGAAAATAGTGATGCCTCCTAAAAGAACAAGGATATTTAGCAGTTGAGATTTTGATGCATAAGATATTGCAAAGTAATGATTTTAATGCATATGTAAGTGTACTAGCATTCTGTCTGCAAGTCTTCCCCTTCAGCTCTCCACAGACAACTCTCTGTAGGAGGACAGATACAATGAGAAGGATTTTAGCCTTCCTCTAAAACCTCTGCTCTTGGCTATTGCAAGAGAAAAGATGCTGGATTGTGTAAAACAGAAATTTAGGGTAATTCAGATTTTACATGTATTCCCTTTTCTTTACCTGATCTGTAAGGTAGCCGCTTAAGTTCATCGTCATCAGTAAGGAGTTCATTCTGAGAAATCACAATTTTGTCCTGTAAGAAAACGACATGGAATCCAGAAGTAATTATCTGTACTGATGGCATTCATATGTTCTTTAACTTAAGCATGTGCATTGTCAATGACCCATATAAAAGGAAAAGATTGAGTCAAGGTTTTTCTCATGTTATTCCATACTGCTTTCAGTTTTCACTTTGTAAATACTTCCTGAGTTGATGTGGCAGCTGAGATCTTTACTGTGTATGCATGAACTGGAACATATCTTCAGTATCTATCCCCCATAATTTTTCAGTTCAGGCTCCTAGCAATTACTTTATTTATTTTGCTACTCTGGTTACTGAAATGCTGGATAGAACCAGAACCTGTGGAGGAAATACTAACCTTTGTAGATAGGTAAATTACAGCACTGAGTGATGTCTCAGAATAAGAATAACCAGACTTTTCATATACAGCCATGAGGGTTCCATTGTGTGGCAAGCTGGGACTCTAGAGGAAAAGAGTGAAAGAAGTCTGTGTCAGAACAATAATGATTTGCAGAATAAATGTGTATCACAGGAAGACCTCAGTTTGGACTCCAATAAGAAACCAAAGACAGACTAAAATATATCCATTTAATATTGTGTGTTTCTAGACTGCAGGAAATTACCTTCATAAGAACGTAAGTGCAAACCCCATGGAACCTGTATGCTCTAGAATCAAACGTGGTAACAAAGGAGCCTCCTTCCAGTGAACACGTTCCAGGGCAGGGCAAGTCTCTGCAGTTCCACTGACCCATTGTACATTTACTAAGGAAAATAAGAAATCCTGTGTAAGGTTATTCTCATACTTAGGCACTGTTTACCAGCAGAGGATTTGATCCTCCCGTCTTGAGGTTTGCTGTAGCTGGTCAACATGCAAAATTGGTTAGTGAACACAAGGTAACATACATATACATTCTGAACTTTCATTTCCAGAGTTTTGAAATTTCTTTATGCTCTAAAACTCAGCTACTTCCTAGTAATGGAAGATGTCATTTGTATCACTTTCTCCCTTATACTTTCTATGCTTTGATTTTCTTTATGTATATCAGTTGAAGTTGTTCATCTTAATTCAAAGTTGCTGAACTCTTTTATGAACTGTCAGTAAACTTTCTTGAACAGATTAATCATGCAAAGTGCATTCATTGTTACAGCTCTGAGGATCAAATTTCTTTATTTATCCTTTATTTTATTTATTAGAATTATGATAGCAAGAGAAGTAACACAAAAAATATTCCATGGTTTTGTTTTAACTTCCAAATTTAAAAAATATTCTTCAGTACTTGCTTTCTGTTGCAAAACAAGGATTTAGTTTTCAGCACTGATTTGGTGACCAGAAATGCTGAGATATCCAGTATTTAGACTTTCTTTCTGGCAATTTGTTTCATTCTAACTTTACCTCCACTTTCCCAGAGGAGATAAAAATGCTATTATTTTGCATTGCCTGAAGGAGCATTTATATTTGTACAGAGTCATCAGGAAATGAGACATGTACATCTTCAATTACAAATGTATGCTTCACGGCACTCAAAGAAGATGGCCTCAGAGATAGTACGACACTTGCAGTTAAGCTGATTTTTCCAACTGTTTGGTGAGGATATTCTACATGCTCTCATGAAAGTTCCTGCTGCTACTCACCAGGTCCTACATGCTGCTTTCATTGTCTCACCAGGAGCATATATTTTCCCATTCAGCGTACATGGACACTGCTTAATGTGAACACATGTTTGATTCTTTGAGACGTCATCAAGAACAGTTCCTGCCAAAAAAGGTAAACAAAATAACTACTTTTTTGTATCCTTACTTAGCTATTGTAGCCTGAATGACTTCCAAAACTGGCTTGAGAATGCTATTCTTGCACAGCCAGTGACAATACTTAGATATATAACATGCAGGACATTTTCTCTTAATTAAAATAAAACTGACTCTTTACAAGTGATAACATCATCTGGCTACTTCATTATATGAAAGTGCAGACAATTGTCTTTATTTGAAATTTCAACTTAATTTGAAGTAACAGTAAGCTTAAATGTAATTTTTCCAGGCTGTGGGTTTGTTTTAGGTTGGTTTTGTTTTTTTTCATTTTAATTTTTTGGTTTTTTTTGCTATGACACTCAATTACATTGGGAATTTTGCAGAATGGACACATTCTATTTCCTAGAGTATTAAGTCTAGATTTAAATATGTAGCTTACAACACATTACTTTTGATTACTATAAACTGGTAACGATATTGGTGTAAATACCCATATCACAGTAACCTTGGAGGATATTTCAGTTCTGAAATTTCAAGAAACGATGCAAATGGTAGTCATAATTACAATTTTTGTAGGAAGTTCATCTTGAGCCATTTTAAAGGGTTTTTACAAAATGCCCATAATACTGCAGAAGTTCTCTGAGATATGCTACCTCTTGCTGGTGCCCTGAAAGGCTAGATACTGGTTTGGGATAGGAAATTAATTAAGCTTAATCAATGTATATTCTAGTACAGAACTTTAAGCAGGTAGCTGTTGTGAGGAAAATGTTTTCACAGCTCTGTTCTTGCAAATAGTGACCAAGGATCTTTAAGGACCATGGCTACTCCAGACTCTAGTTATATTATGTTACTCAAGAAATGGCAGTTCTAGCAGCACAATGCCCTGAAATGCACTGCTAGTTCATTATTAAGAAGTCCATTCCACTTGGCTGGATGTATGCCAAAACCATTTGTATGGGTCATTTAGAAGATGATGAATACAGGAATGATACCTTCTGGACAAAAACAACCATAGGTGCAGTGACTGGAACAACTGTACTCTGGGTTGGAACACGTTTTAATACATGGAGAACCACATTCCTCATAGATTTGGTTAGCAGAACATTTTCCCACAGCTGCAACAAACAGTGAAAAGTGTTAAGGTTTTTAAGTGTAAACATAGAGGAATCTCTCATCTGTCACCTAGGATGGAGAAGACTGTGATTTCTGGCACTAACATTCTCTTATCCTGCCTCAGTTCTCAATTAATCATCTGAATATTGGTCATCACCATCATATTCACTCTAGCTTTTATTCATTTTTCATGCCCTGTTTTACAGAAACTCCTTTTAGAAGCTTGAAGAATGGCAAACAAGCTATATTGCAGTTTAATAAACTACCACAAATCGGATTTTCTGTAATGCTTGAAGGATTTAAAGAATATACTCTTGATCTTCTGTATAGTTCCCACTTCTGAGACATTATCTGCTTTTCAGAATGCAGCTACCTAGCAATTCTAATATATGAACTCAGAACATGTTTTATTATGTGATTCAAACAGAGATTTTTCCTCATCTGAAAGAGTGAAAATAAGTGAGGCAGGGAAATAGACAGAGACGAGGCTGACACAGAAACAACAAAGACTAAAAAGTTCATTACCTTTGTATATTTGGCATTTGTTTGCAAATTCTTAGATTCTCAGCTTTGGTTTTTTGGGAAACAAGGGTTCCCATTTCCTTTTTTTCAAAGCTTTGTCTTTCATCACTTTACTACCAATTCTAGTAACGGTCTACTGGCAACATGAAAAATGCTACGACTTGGAGAAAACCAGGCTATTATGAACTATTTTACAGTTCTGTGAATGTCCACAGTGCCTTACTAATATTTAACTGAATCTATAAAAAGCCACAGGGAGTTTACAATTTTGAAGGATTAAAACCAGTTCCAGACCACCCAAAGAATAAAATGGGTTGCACATGTATGTAAGATGGGTAACCTTAGAGAAGAGCAAGGCAAAAATTATTTTATAAAGAAGTGCAATTTTAAAGTGTTGGGGATAATAATGGAGCTTAGTAGGTAATGTTTTCTGTAAGTATGAGGAAAGAATGCAAGAAAACTCAATATTGAATACAAAACAAAAAATGAAGAGTGGCACCAGGACATGAAGATCAAGAGGAGAGTAGAAGAATACAGCACCGGAGTTTCAAGGAGGGCAAAATCATGCAAGGCCTCTTAAGTACCAGTGGTGAGATGATAGACTATGGCAAGTTAAACAATGACTTCAGGAATAAAATTCAACCGTGATTTCACTATTATGCTAAAATCTAAATGGTAGCCAATCTTAAAGATTTTTGAAACAGAATAAGAATCAAGGGATAAGGAGAGCTATATTCTTGTCAAAACAATTTGTTTTACAAATTTGCTACCCATGACCACAGGTTCACATACAAGATAAATTAAAATATTATTAAATTACATGCTTCTGAAGAACAAGATCATATTAGGCAAGGTAATTTTGAAAGCTCCTTTTTTTTGACGTGAGCTACATCTCTGGTAATTTAATGTGTGAGTTGGTTTTGAAATAACAACATCAACTTAAATTACTTTAGACTTTTTTTTATGATCAGCATGTTCTCTTATAAAACAATGAATCTTGCTCCATAACACTGGCTACAGATTGAAGTTTAAGGTGGATTCAAAAAGACTGCAAAAAGGGAATCAGGACTTTGATAATAAACAGGCACTTGAAAAAAAGTGTCTTTAATCATGTACAGCTTGGAGAGTAATGGAAGATTTGCTTCCTATTTATTTATAAGTTAAGAAGGTTGAACATCTGAAAATGGACCACTGAACATTTCCAGTCAGTAAAAGGGGCTATGGCAATCGTTAGCAAAAATGTTCCAAGACTTCAGAGGCCATTTACAAGTTCTCTCTCTTTACTGGCAAATTTGCTAAGTACAATAATGAAAAAAATTGTATTGAGGGAGAACAGACCCCTGTTGGAAGTGTGAGAAACTGAACAGTTCTCACTTGGTGGATGTTTGTCTCTTTTATGGTCACTGATCTAGATATAAGTGCTACATTTCATGCTTCCTCCTTCTCCTTTGAGATTTCCATGCTGTCCTTCTTAATGCTTTACCAAAAACCACTGTTGTTCTCTTAAGAATAATTTGCATTATTTGTCTCAGTAGAGACTTTTTTATCGGTTCATTTAAATTCCAGTTAATCATCATTCTCCCTCTAGGTAAGATATAGCAAGGTTAAGTACAATCTCCTATGAATCGAGTATTTGAACTTACAGCAGAAGTTTTCCGTTCTCCAGTTGGACACTATTTGATGGGACATAGCACATTGCCTTGAATACTCCGACAGTGTAGAGCAAGTGCAATTGTTTTGTCCTGGCTCACTGCAGTCCTGCATATCAAGCTGGCAACGAGTGACAAACCCATCCTTTGGCACACTGCAGGTTGGTGACACCAAGTTAAGTAGCTGAGAGCAGATCATGGCCTAAATAAAAAGAGAAAGAAAATTGTTCCTAGTAGTGTTTCTCCCATATGAAAACCACAATAGAATATCACTGCTAGTTACGATTTTCTTGTTGGTTTGCTTGCGTTCCCCCTCCTACAGTTTAGTAACATGTATTTCACTTAAAATGCATGAGAAATTCAATAATAGAAGGGAATATAAATCCATTATATAATAGAAGCATCTTGATATGTTGAATTAATTCGACTTCCCATTAAGTTGAAAATCAAGCCATTCTGTTAGTACCATCAATCCCCTTAAAAATGGCTGAGAACTTTACAGGCAGGCAGTGTGTTGTCCCATGGTGATTCAGTTCCAGGACAAGCATCCCCGATGTGAAGGCAGCAACATTCATTCCCCTTTAAGCAAACATTTGATACGTTTGTATTGTTTGCCATATTCAAAGCGAAACCATGTAAAAAGATTAAACTGCCCAGCCAACAGAAGTTCTCCACCAGATCAAGTAATTTTTCAGTGTGAATACAAGTAATATTTACAAGCCCCTTCTTCAGAAAAGCATCTTCCTCACAGGACCAACAGAAACTCCTGTTCTTTATTCCTGCTCTTCTTGTTAAAGAGATGCTACAAATGTTTCTCTTTCTGTTCTGGGAAAAGGAGACTCTCAGCAGGATTCGAACTGGCTCTTCCTCTGTAGCGTGAAAGCTAAACTTTTTAGCAAGAGGAACGGTTTCTATGTTCAAACTAAGAGATTCTTGGGTTGTTAGAAAAATATGATTAAGCTATTAAGCAAAAAATAAGAAAAATCTATTTCTAGAGAAAACTTGTAAAGCATTCTGTAATTACTAGTAACATATATACTCTATATAAATAAGTACATGAGAATTACAAAGTGAGATCATATTCTTGTGAATAAGTACAAATGGAATCAAAGAGCATGATCATTCTATATGAAGTTAAATGCTTTTTAGAGGATGGCAATGAGTACTTGCCATGAGGTTTACAGTGACTTTAAGACCTTATAGGTAGAAAAAAGAACAGGTTGCTGGGAGAAACTGTGGAGTTTCCATCTCCTCGGCCTGGAAGATCCACCCAGGAGATGCTGAAAACTCACTAGGAGATGGGCCTGGACCACGTGCTCTAGCTGATCCTGCTTGAGCAGAGGGGTTGGACTAGATGGTCTGAAAAGATCTCTTCCCAGCCAAACCATTCAGTGATTCTGCAAAATCTATGTGGGAATGCAAAATTTGAGTTTCCCTGGTGAAACAACTTAACAGAATTATCCTAAGTAAGATTTGACTCCTGTATCTGCAAAATCTAAGAAACATGAAGCCTTTTTGTTCTTTGCCACTGCTAAGCTTTCTCTTTCAACCCCAGTTATATGGATACATCATGTTTCAGGTAAGCTGGTTTTCTTTTCATCTATGATTGGAAGTGATAGCAGTTGATAGGGGTTTGCCCTGTTACGAACACTGTTATCTGGCAATATGTTTAAAGCATTGCTGAATGTCTTCCAGTCTGTATAGTTTAGGTCTCTAGCTGTTCAATAAAAAGTTCTTTAAAGCTTCACCGGTTTCCATGAATTTCCGGTGATGACCTGCAAGAAATTTCAGAAAGCTGTGAGCTAAATGCTAGTAGTTTTATTTAAGTTATACTAATTCAGTCTCAAAAATGCCCACTGGCCTTTTTCAAAATATATTTTAATGCAAAGAACACCTTTTCTTTCTCATATCATGCTATACAAAGTTTTACTTTATTACTTCTCATGAAGGTCAGTTTTATGAAACCACAGCCTTTCTGTTGTTGGTTTCTCTCTATCTTTCCACCTCTGTTAAGAATCATGCTGCAGAAAAGCCAAAATCTTTCTTACATATTTTTTGTGAGGAATGGTGGAAATCGCAATCTCTTCGGAGAGGCAGATCTCGGACGGATCATCCATTTTCTGTAATGCAGCAAATTTATATGTATCCAGCAATTTACCTGTGAATGGAAGGGTTATAATTTGTCATGAAAAAGCCCACATTAATTGTTGCTGTGATGTAACAAAACTCAGATTCCACTCTTTGACCGTGAAAGGTCCTACTAATTAATCTTCCTGATGATAACAACTACCTTGTTTGCCTTTTACCTGATGTCTATTCAGTAAATCATACTTTTATCACCTAGATCATTCCTCTGAGCTATTTCCTAATCTAGCACATCTACTACTTTACATGATAACAGCTGTTATTGTTTTTCTGCCAGCTGTGTTATCTTTTGCCAGGTGCTAATTCATACATCTTCTCCTCATCCCCCATTGTTATATTTTCCCCTTGTAGCAGCCTTCCATTACTTAAAGAAGGCTTACAGGAGAGATGGGGAGGCACTCTTTATCAGTGTAGTGATAGGATGAGGAGTAATGGCTTTAAACTGTAATAGGGCAGATTTAGATGAGATATTAGGAAGAAATGTTTTCCTGTGTAGGTGGTGAGGCAGTGGCCCAGGTTGCCCAGAGAAGCTGTGGATGCCCCATCCCTGGAGGGGTTCAAGGCCAGGCTGGATGAGGCTTTGAGCAACCTGGGCCAGTGGGAGGTGTCCCTGCCCATGGCAGGGGGTGGGACTCGATGATCTCTAAGATCCCTTCCAACCCAAGCCATTCTGTCATTCTATCATTCTATGTGGGGTTAAACTCAACACAACCCAAAAAATGTTGTATACTTTTTAGAACTCTTTTCTGTGATGTGTATAGAAAACAGCACCTATCTACGCTGACTGGAGAGTTGTTTACTGCATAATTTAAAGTCACCACACTAGCACTGTAGTTCAGATTGGCAGTGTGGTTTTAAAGTAAATCTTCCAAACATCCCCACTCTGTACAGTTTGATTTCCATTGTGAAGTGGTCTTGGCTTACAGAGATCCCGTAAGACGAAACCAAGCCAGAAGATATGCTCCAAGAGCATGTGTAACAAGCTCCAACTGCTAATGGGCATTAGTTGAAGAGACCATATTAGAGTGACTCTGAAGTGAACCCCACAAACCACATATAGAGCAGATGCCAAGTCCTCAGCACCAAATATTTTCTTCTAAAGATCCACTCTTATGGGGACACACTGCTTGTTAATATTCTTGTCCACTATGTTCTTTTTATTATAGCCTCATTCTTGCTCCTGCCTAACATAATCCTTTCCCTCACTGTGCCTTGCCATGAACCTAGACTGTTCCGAAAGTTAGGTGAGAGACAGTGTGACCCTTACCACCTGTTTCTGAAATACAAGAGAGTCCGTATCATCTGTCTGAGGAGCCCACAATATTATCATCATAGCAAATAAGTGTGTAGCACAATCATATGATAGGTACGTTGGTGACCTACGGGAGTGTATTTACTCAATTCTGAATCGGAGTGAGCAGTCAGAGCAAGGTTAATACAGTATTAAATTTCCATCTTGATTCAGTTTAACTAGTTCTGCTTCCATTTGACCCATCCTTAGATCTTACCTTCACTGACAAATTCATTCAATTCATAACCATCATAATTTCCACACATTCCACAGGTTTTTCCCATATATTTTTTTTCAGTCAAAACCTAAAATAAAATTTAAAAAACATTTAAAAGGATCACCCTAAGTAAAATTATCTATACAGCATTACCTTTCTCAAACAAATTCAGTTCAAGCATACAATTAAAGGTGATCCTTCTCATCATTTCAGTGACTTGATCGGAGGAAAAGTTTTTGAAATAGTAACTTCTCTTTTTTTGTTGCTATTTTTTGATTTAATAAAAGAATAAGATTCTAAGACATTTGCAGAGACTTGAGGAGGAATAATATTCTAAGGAGACAGAAAAAAAGAGCAAAGGAAATGATGCTGTTTCCTTGCTCATCTTTGTTGACAGAGCACAAATTTCAGGTTTGCTCTCTCAAAAAAATTGAAGGTTACAGGAAGAAAATCTGATTTCAGAAGAAGGTTATTCAATTATCTATTACTCTGGAGAGTAAAGTGGTACTATTACTACCGGCTACAATCAATGTATTATCATGAAAACCTTAGATCAGAGAAAATAATCTGACTATAAGTAGAACATAGTGTGTACCCATTACAGTAGCATTTGCTGTCATATGTGACAGTATCGCTGGTAAATCTCCCAGACAATTTATTACATAACAATCTCCCTGTTTTAGCAAACTTGACAATTTAGAATTCAGTGTCTTTTGTGGCATGAATATTACAAGTCATGGTGAGAAAATGCATCCTCTTCTCTAAAATATATCAGGGACTTTGGAGGGAAAACTTTAAAAGATTCAGAAGAAGGAAAGACACAAAGGAGCTGGTAGGAGTACCACATGTTTGAAACCAAAAGATGTCCAGGGGAAGCACAGTAGAAATGGCAAAACTATGGCATGCACTATTAAATTCTACACAACTTTAAACTACTTCAGCATCCCTTTAGCAAAAGACCGTAGCTGCTGGAATAATGTGAGGAAAGTTTAAAATCAGTGAAAGCATCCGCAAATCCAACGTTGGTAGCTTTAGTTAACTACCAATACTGGAAGTGAAAGGATCATGCATGTATAAAAAGCAAAGTTGTTAATTTCAAGAGGAAGATGCATGAAAAGAATAAATATCCAAATAGTAAACATATACAAAAAGCACCCATTAAGTCTAAAGAGATCTTGTCATTCCAGTAAGTCAGTGAGAATTGTCTCTTCTGCTTTATGAGAACATTTTACTAACCATGAGATAGTCATCGTTATTCCACATGACAACTAGCTCCATCTCCATCAGCTTGGCCACCAAGCGGATGTTGCGCCCATAAGGTGCTATCTGAATTCCATTGCTGGTGTAAGGCAGCTTAATGACACTGTAATAAGGTGAGAAGAGAAAGTGACCTTCTCATACCAATATTATGAAGATATTAGTTATCTTCTTTAGATATAATACACATACAATCTGAGTACTTGCAGCAACATGAAATTGGTATTTTTTTCCTTTGTAACTGAAACATTTCAAAATACATTGAAATTTCTGTTGATTGAAAATCAGTGCCAGCAGTTTCATAGAAGAATCACCAGGAGACAGCTGCATACTAATTATACTAGTGAAAAAAGTTTGCACAGGATGTGGCATCTTCACTTGGTTTGGTCTTATTAGGGTATAGCTATACGTTTTAAGAGCTTGTAACAATACAGTTTGTGTGGTAGAACTGTTGTTGATTATCCTGAAGAGCTTTTATGGACTACAACCTTTTAAGATAGGAATTACTGCTACAGCTGAAGACTGACAAGGGTAGAGAAACTCATAATGGGAATGTTGTAGCAGAATTAGGTTTTAATCCTTGCGGCTGAATTCCAATACTTGGGTTAGGCCCATAGATTTATATAGTTTTCCTGGAATATAAACCAATAAAGGAAGTTTTTCTAAATAGTTTGCTAAATTAAGGTACAGCTGCAAGTTTTCTTTTTGTCATTACGGTTACTGTACCCAGGTAAGTATACTAAGGTACAGACAGTCCACATTCAATTATTTCCCATATCCTCATGTACTCACAGACAGAATTTCCTCTGCCTATCTGATAAAATGCTGAAAACTTCCCTGGAGAAATTTCCTTGTGAGGGACCAATTTGTCTAGAAGAATGAATGATGCAGAACCCAAAAGTTTGCATCACTGTAATTCCTCAGTAAAACAGCTGTTTTCTGGACATAGTAAGCCTTGGAATAACAGGAACAGTCAGTGGTCTCATATACAAGGATGTCTTTGTAAGCCCCTCCAATATTTCTCTGTTGGTTGTACAATTCCAAGTTTCTCTTGTACCCTATATATGTGTGCCCTTTAGCACAGAGGGTTCAGGGTTATCTAAGTCTCAAATCAAATGAACTCTACGAAAAACACAGGAATTTCAACTGATATTTACTAACGTGGATAAGCTGTTTTATCTGTGCTTGTAGCATAGATAAGCATAAGCAGACTGGCAGTATCCAGGAGACTGCAGCTTCAGTGTGAAAATTGTTTTGGTCTGAGAAGGTTAGTCTACCCCTTTGACTACACAAGTGTAATCTAAGCTTGATTCATATAACTGCAAATGAAATATTTATCTAGAGAGTGCTTGACAGGAAGAAATGGGAATAGAGTCCAGTTAGGTGTGCTAACTTCCATAATTTGTTAATTCATTTTTGATACAAAGTAGTTCTCATTAGTGCAGCTGCTATATGTCTCCTTGCCTTCTTTAAACACTTTTTTCCCATTTATCGCAGAATCTTACCCAACACTCCTGACAGAAATGCTGCCTTTCTCAACAATGATAACAGAGGGTCCCAGCTCGATAATGATCCTTGCAATTTTTTTGTCTGGCCCGCGACGGAACTGAATGTTGAAGTCTGGGCTGGTTTCATCACATACAGTTGCAAAGATATAGTTGCAGGTCCCAGTGAAGTCATACTGGTATTTATCAAAGGTAGAAAAATGCCCTCCACCCCAGGTAGAACAGGAATCCTTGCTCAAAACTAGAAAAGTGAAAGAGAAAAGTGGATTTAGGTCTCCTAACAGCATATTTGCTCATTCTGATTGCCATTTCAAATATAAATAGCAGGAAAAGCTAGAAAGCTTCTACTCAGATTAATTATGTAAACAACATCCTAGCCTTTTTTTTGTTTGTTGGTTTTTTGGTTTTTTGTAACCTCAAAACTTTACCTCAAGTCAGGCGAAACAACAGTTGGAGTCAGAGCAATATTCTTATTTCTTGTAAGCACAGGAAAGCTCCCTAGCTTGGGAAACACACTTCCATCTCTTTAATGGGTAATACAAAGATCTACCTTCTTATTTCAGTCTGCTCAATCTGTTCGCAAAGGTGGCAGCTTGCTACTGGAGATACTCCTAACATTTCAGGTACAAACATTTACAAACCATCTATGTATCATCACTCGTTGCACAGTCAGATCATCAGATATCCAAAGACAGTCTTCAAAGCCCAGCTTGTAAATCCCCGCCTTTTTCTGCTGTGTTTGCGTGGCTATGTTCCAGTCAGCTTTGTAAATATATGGAATGTTTTAATCAGTTTTTGTTTTTAAAAAGTAATCACTTTTCATCTGAATGGGCAGATTTTAGGAGGCTGAAATTAATCATATTAAAAGAGATATAACTCCAGTGCTTGACACTAGATATTTCTATACCTACTTAAAGCATTTGAACATTCCCTCTGAAGTTGACAGAACTACTGAAGGAAGTAAAATCATGTCCTTGGCTAAACACTTCCACACTCCGACCGTTACTTTTCATTTTTTAAATTATTTTTGCTTATGGAGTTATACGAAGCTCAGGTATCTTAGAATGTATCTCACAAGCACAAAGTATCAGGTAAGTTTAGCAAAGTCTACCTGCAATTTATATTCACTGCTTTAAAGCCAAACCTTTTTTTAATTATTCTTAAAGAGTGATCAAATGACTACAGAATGTTATTGTTTTTATCCAGATCATGGAGAAAACAGTTTCCCAATGAGCTGTTACCTTGTGGCAAAAAGTACTCCTCTTCCATATTTCTGTGCTGTCCAGAATGGCTGACTGGAAAATATGAATTGGCTAATTGTCATCATTAATCCATTGTTCCAGCTAGTTTAATGACACTGACCAGCAAACCTCAGGTTTTTTTAGAGTGTGCCAACGAATGATTACCTGGGGTTGCACCATGGTCAGAGAGGAGCCCCTTTCCATAAACGTAAGAATGCCTTCAGTATATTTGTATTAATTTAAATCTCATCAGAGAAAAATAACAAATGGGAATGCCAATAACTCAAGAAAGTTTAAAACCAGATTATATCTTTTTCTTTTGAGTGCAGTTTTTATTAAGTGATATCTAGGGATTTTCTTTTAATCTGTGTATATCCGTGCACTACTGTTCCTCTTGTTGTAAGAATAGCCAGAAGACAGAGATGAGTTGCTGAATATTTTTTTTCTGTCTGATCACAAGTACTCAACTATATTTACCTTTAGGTTGAACTTCACGTAGCTTTTCCATGCTTATGCTGAATGAGATTTCAGCTAATTCAAGCCACTCTCTGCTTCTTCTGCCTAACGACATGCTTCTCATTATAACAAATTTGTATTTTTTATCATTCTTTTTGTTCTACACATCTGCATTTTCCCTAAACTAGACTAAGAATTTCATTGTCAACCACTGAAATGCAGCAACTTTTGGAGTACAAAGAGTTGCTAAAATTACAGATTACGAGGAAGAATGTCTGTAAACAGAGTATGATAGAAAAAATGTTCAGAATACTAGCGCTGATATCCATATGTGTTTTGGAAAGGATCTAGTGAAAATTATTTTTTTTTTTCAGAAGGGTTATAGCCTTCTGTATCCTGTCTTAGCAGAGGAACATGTCCTGTAAAATACAGCATATCATGTTAGCATGATGACATTTACTCATTCTTGTAATGGATGTGGAAAACTAAATGTTTAATGAATTAATTTTAAATTGAAAAGTCAGTGGCTCTCATTCCTTCAGAAAAGAACACGTGAACCACTTAATTGGTTCTGATCAAGGATTGATGTAGCTCGGTATTTTATTTCCAGCAGCGATCATTAAGAGATAGCCCAAGGGACAAGTACCATCAGGTCAAGTACATATACTTCCCTGGATACTCTCTCACTCTCCAATTATTTTCAGTTTGGGGGATTTTGTGAGGCTACTGGGATTTGTCTGCTTACCCCCCTTGTGCTCTGGCTTCCACGTACTTGTCCAGCCTCCTTTTGAACTGGAGTGATATTTCTTCATAACAGAAAATACCACAGTCACTACTGTCAAAGCTACCATTTTAATGATGAGTTAACATTTTAACAATATCTGCCTTTCTAACAGTACTTCTGGTAGCCACTATTTTCAGTACCTTAAAGGTATAATATGCCAATTATTTTGTGCTTTCGCATGGCACATATTTTTATGCAAGTGAGATAGTAACATCTTATTATCTTTTGTATTTCTTAGACTCAGAAGGACTACCACAAATTTACAGTAAGTAGGTGGCTGGAGTTAATTCTGCTTACAGATTTGCATGCATGCACACAAGCCATTCTTAGGAGTTAAGGGCAAACTTTTGGAAAACTGCCAGAACTGTGTCAACGATAACTTCAGCTAGCACAGCTGGATGTTGAAGAGGAGATCTGTCCACACCCTGACTCCCCACTGGCTGCTGGCTATAAAGGTGAGGAAGGTCTATTCCATATTCTCATCTTTCACTTGTTTTGTTGATTTGTTTTAACCTGCAGTCTTTAAAATAATCTCATAGATCCAGCCTATGTGGAGAATCAGGTTTATTTCATTTCCTGGATTTTGCAGCATCAAAAGAATCAATTTCCAAAATCCTTAGATAATATTAAGCAGTAATCTGCAGTGATGAAAATAAAACAGAGCACACAAATAACCTCAATAGCAAATTTCTAAATGTGGAAGCTACTAAGCTGCTCACAGTTTCTATCCTTAGGCATTAAAACCTCAGCATGGCACACTAAAGCACTTTCCAATTACTGTAAAACTTACCAGAGCGAGACAACATATTTTACCATCTTTTTATAGGCAAACTCTTCAATCAGAACTTCTAAAACTAATGCTTTAAAATGTATGCTCCTTGAGGCAAGGAGTCATTTTTATTATCTGTTTGGTACAGTGTCTTCTGCAATATAGAACTGATGCTGAATGGAGTTATTACTCATAATTGCAAAGTTAACATTAAATACCAGTTTAGGCACTCACTTCTTTGCAGAGATTCTTTCTGTTTTTGGAGAAAAAAGTGGGGCCAATAATTTCCTTCAAAAGCTGTGAAAGGAAAAAGACAACAGGCAGAAGTTATCCTCTGAGCACAAGGAAGCTGAATATCGGTATAGTTATTTATTTATTTATTTTAAAATATGGTACAAGTCAAAGCAGGGTCAGCACATATGAATTGTGTCCTGCCACACAAAACTGAATGGAAATTAGATTGGAAAAGCACATAATTCAGCTTGTGATAAAAAATAATTCTGTGACTGGTAAAATGTTACCAAAATCTTCCAGAAATCCTGTGCGCTATGCGATTTCCTGTACTTCATCCTCAAATCCTACGTTCCATTCCATCAGCTGGGGAGAAGCAGTGGAGGAAACAGCTAAAACTGGTATCTCCATTTGTTCAATAATTTATTATTGTTGGTTTAACAGTTTTTCAGTCACTACAGTTTAATCCCAAACTGCACACACTGCATTAGCAGGATTTAAGAGTGTGTAAGAGCTGCCTTCAGAGGATATCTGATTTGCAGGAACTGAAGATATGCCTTAAACATTATTTCAAGTGAGCTCTGTCTAGAGAGTTTGATGTAAAACAAAAAGTCTAATAATTTATGGAAAAATATTTAGATCAGACAGTTTGGTTTACAAAGCTTATCTCTAAGCTTTTCAAACTCCAAATTCACAGGTCTAAGCATCCCAAACAGTTACCAAGTGCTACAAATACTCCAGGTTTGGTACTTAGATTAAAAAATTTAATGTAATAATCATCCTGGACTATATGGAGGTGTGCAAGAGTTATACTGAAAATAGCTAAGGATATGAAAGCCACTTGTAAATTTTGGTCAAAGAATGGCTAGTAAAACAAATACAGAGCCTCTTGTTGACTATCTGCCAATCAGTTTGTATCCTGTCAGATCAAACTATTAAACTAATTACAGTACGGTAATTATTCTCAGCATTTACATTCTTTTTCTCACACTTAACTCTGAAGAGATTAGTAAAATCATCCTGGCAATCTTATTAACCATTCACAACCACATGAAATGGTAGATTGTATAGATGCAGCAAGTGCTATGGCCCCATGTACAAGTTTTTTCTAGCAACCATTTAGGAATTTTCCACTGAAAAGGCTGTTCTAATGGTAAAGGAGATTTCTAAAGTACCAAAATCTTCCTTACTACTTCCTTACTTTTACTATTACTGTCAGTGTTCTGCTTTTTCCTTTGAGAAATGCGATGATTTTGAGTTGACATGAATTACTTACTTTTTAATTAGCTCATCAGAACTTCAAACAGACTTTTCTTAGATAAAGTTTTACTTTCAATTCCTACTCTACTTGTCCTGACTTCCTTGAGAATTGTATCTGTCAAAATGCAGTATCTGTGCGGTCAGTCTGCCTAGTTCATGACAGCAATACAATCCAGACAGGGAACTTGACTCACTGTGAAGAAATAAGTAATTTCTTTCCTATCCTTACTATGAGACATCCCCCTGAGAAAATACAATTGTATGTTGTAATGACTTCAATCAAAGTATTTCACATCAGCTAAATGAATGAAAACAAAACACTTCTGTTTGATGTAAAACACTGAAATGAAATATTTTTCACACTTCCAAACAGAAATCATTTGGGATTTCTGTTCTATAAAAGGTTCAGTTTTTATCTTCTCATTTGAGACAAAAAGAAATGTTGAAATGTCAGAAATTCTGGAAAAGACAAGAGCTTTAAAATAAAATTTAACAGCAAGGGTAGTGCTAGAGTCATAGCTGTAATAATACTAGTAATCAGTTGTACGTGTTCATGATGATTTCTCATCAATATGAAATTATTAACTCCCTTTGCCTCTTGCAAAACAAGATGTCTGAACAGCATAAATCGAGGTAACTTCCTATTTTCATATTTAGTAAGAAGAAATATCATTGTACATAAACATCTCTTAAGCATCCATGCACAGTTTTAACTTTTGAAATATCTGAAGGGGTGGAGCCTCAATTTGATCAATGAATCATCTTTTATTAAGTAATAGCGACAACTAACAGTTTTAGTCTAGTTTTAAACTTCTGTAGGTTTGGGGTTTTTTTTCCATCAGGCTAATGCATGTTTACTGGGGTTTTTTTTAGTTGAAAGAGGAAGTGAGTCTTCCAGTTTCCATCAGACTTCATATCAAATATATGTTCTTAAGGTGAATATTTACATTTCTAGTTAGAGACAGACTCAAGGTATGGAATTCAGATGCAGATCCACGATGAGGCAAACTAGAGTCCCTGCTTTGATTTAATTCATTCTAAAGAGACAACACTTGGATCTAGAGTGTGAAACAATGAGCATCCTGCATATTGGCCAGTTTTAGAACATACAGATCAACCTCTTATGGTTCAGATTTGACTCCAAAAATTGTCTGGTTTCAAAATCTTACTTGACAGAACGAAACCTCTATTTGTTTTCATAGGCTCCAACCTCACATGGTATTTCAAGGCCCCAAAATTTTGATACATCCTAAAGTGAGAAGACTGTTCTGTAAGAACCTTCTAGATCCTGCTTTTAGGCTTTTATGTTGATATTCAACTGAAGTTCCATCCTAGACAACACAGTCCTTTATAGATGAGGCCCTATTTGTAATTGCCAAGTTTAGACATGTATCTTGTGGCTGAGTAGGGGTCAGCAGTAATTTTCAATTTGATTGCAAATATTAGTATTTATAGTAATACATCTACTCATCCAACTATGAAGTCATGTAGATTAAGAACTTGCAGGCATCTGCATTTGGGTTTAGAACCCCTGTGCAGGTACTTGACTTGATCTTGGTTACAATGGTGCTAATACAGTGAATGGAGCTATACTTGATTTATAACAATATAGCTGAGATTAGAAATTGGCTCTGAGAGTCTACAAAAGGGTTATGTATATTTTAATTATTTTCACTGCTACAGTTTAAGCCAGTGATTTAAGAGTAATACATGTCCTAGCGCAATTTGAACTATATGGTTCATTAAATGTGGTAAACACAATACAGAAGAAATAAATTTAACTGTGTTCAAACTAAAGCTAGTGAAGTACACCTTTTAGCAGCTTGTATAGTGTTCTTGAAATCAGAACAGTAACAATTGATAATTACAGAGAATATACAGAAGAGATAAAAAGAAACCATTATCTTGAGCAATGTCAAACCATGGCAAAAAAGGCTCACTCTCTAAGAACCCACTGGTAAAACACTACAGGAAAACTACAGTAAAAACACTACAGGAAGAGGAATGAGTAAGAAGGCAGAGTAGCTACAGAGTCAAGGAACTTACTTGTCTTTTGAAAAAATTACACAGT